CGAGTTGGTTTGGCTTTGGCTTGAGGGGGAGGGAGCCGGACGAAGAAGCCTTCCTTCCGGGAGTCGGAGGCGTGTCAGCAGCTCGCGGGGGACACGGGTGGCTGTGCCGCGCCTCAGGGACGTCACGGGGCCGGTGACCAAGGGTCCCCGACTCTCAGGACCGGAGGACAGCAGGCGGCTGCGGAGCGAGGCGGCTGGAGGGCGCGTCCCGCGGCGAGCCCCGGCGCTGGGAGAGGGGCGCAGAGCAGATTTTAATTTGCTTTTGCGTTTGCCTAACTGTGTACGATGCGCATATATCGCTTTTTTAATCAGAAAAACATCTAATGTGAGTAATTTCAGCTTCATTAGTTCCCGTTATAGAAGCGGGGTCCGTTCCAGAACACGGGGGGCAGGCAAACAGCGGGGAGGGGCCGCGGCCTGGGCTTCCCTCGCGGAAACAGCCCCTCGCCTGTGTTCCTCCCGATCCCTTTCTGTCCGAGCATGTTTAATAGTCCGCTTCGCCTCCTCCCCGCCCCCTCGCCCTCTCCCCGCCAGCCAGTAGTCACTGTCATTCTGCAAACACAGCTTCAGATGTCTGTAAAGAGGCCGGCCCTCGCTGGTGCTGCTCAGTGGGTAGGGCGTCGGCCAGTGGACTGAGGGTCCCGGGTTCGATTCTGTTCAGGGGCTCAGGCCTCTGTTGTAGGCTCGATCCCCGGCCCTGGTCGGGGCTCCTGTGGGAGGCGACCAAGCGATGTCTCTCTCACATCGAAGTTCCCCTCTCTCTGTCTTTCTCTCTCCCTTCCACTCTCAAAAAATCAGTGGGAAATATCCTCGGTGAGGATTAGCCAAAACCAAAAAGGAGCAGGCTCCGTTCCAGTCATGGCGGCAACTCGGTCAGGGCGAACATTCGCTGGTTGCGGGGCGCCGTCCCGAGGGCGAGTCCACGCTCAGTCTCCTGGCGGGTCGTGATTGTCTCCCTGGAGATGAGGGGTGCCCAGGCAGAGGGCTCGCTTGCTCCCCGAGGGCCTGGGAGGTGGGTGACCTTGAGCAAATGCCCTGGTGGCCGCTGTCCCCACCTACCTGCCTTAGATGGCAGTGGATGCCGCCGTCGGGGCCTCTGAGGGCCTGGATGGAGCCCGGCTGCAGTTTAGGGAGTGGGTCCCCTCCACGGTGGATCCGGCCGTCGCCCGGGCCAGGCCTTGTTCCGGTTCCGCAGAAGCAGCAGCCGCGGTCAGCCGCTGAGGGACCGGCCTGGGCCAGGCTGCCGGGAGTGACCGCGCGTGCTCGGGGCTGTGGTCCTGACCTCAGCTCCGTGTGTGTGTGTGTATGCGTGTATGCGTGCGCGTGTGTATGTGCACGTGTGCATGTGTGTGCGTGTGCATGTGTGTGCATGTGCATGTGTGTGTGTGTGTGTGTGTGTGTGTGGGGGAGGGAGGGGGGGGCTGGCCGGACGAGAGAGAGAGAGAGAGAGAGAGAGAGAGAGAGAGAGAGAGAGAGAGAGAGAGAAAGAGAGGTGAAAGAGACATA